TTCAGAAAGCTCTTTGAAAAGTCATTTGGCTGTTATACTGGAATAGATATCTACTTTTTCATACGTTCAGTTGTGATGTGGGCAGCCTTATAACTCAAAAACTAAACGGTACCTTTTTCTGAAAAATAGCATGTTATCGACTACAAGTTGTGCGCTACAAACTGGCAGACAAACCGGCGAAGGGTACCTTCAAATTTGTTAACCTTTTATCTTGGGAGGTTGCCAGAATAAACACTAATTTCATGGTGAAGGGAATCTTTCTTTTGGATAAAACGATGAAATTTGTTCTTTTCCATTTCTTGCTTTATATCTCTCTCTATAGTGTGCATAGAAGAAAAAACAAACATCAAGTCAAGTAGAAAAGAATACATACATACATGTTCTTTCTGTTATACGATAGTTCCATATTCTTTTTTTCAGGCATATTGAATAATACTGTTCTCAATTCTCTGTCCAATCCGGTTACCGATGCGACTTTTGACGGCTTCCCTAATTTTGCACGAGCATACATATAAATGAAATAATTATGACTAGTCATGTCTTCATTAACATAAACATTTTTATACCGTTCATTAGATTTTAATTTTGTACGGTTTTTAAGTAATATTCTTTTACACAATAGCGTACAAATCTAACAATTATCACCCTGTTTTTACTTTTTCCCAATCGGTCAGACGCATAAAATATCATTGTCTTCAACTTTCACACCCATTACTTTACCTATATCTTTAATGATAGCATTGGTATGTTCTTCTTTGTTTTCAGCTATTCCATAGATACGCAATGCACATTGATATTGTTCTAAATCGTTTGTTTTATAGTTGAGATAGTCATTTCTTTCTTGTAGATCTTGAACCATTTCTTCTAGCTGTTGCATACGTGTTTCCAGTGGAGCTACCTTTTGTTGAATAATTTCATTTATCATCTGTTGGAAAGGATTACTGCTGAGTACATTTTGAACGATTGAGCTAATTAATGAATCTTGCGATATCACAGCTGTAACAATTTTCGATACGAATTCCTGAGATTTTAATACATTTGTAATATTATCCATATCAGAATTTACCTATAATATAGGGGCAGGCGATTTCGACGATGTTAAGTTTCGTTTATAACCAATGTTAAGACGGCGATCACCCATGGGATTAAGTAAATGCAGTTTAAAAAATTTGCAAATAAAAATGGCTACTACACTCAGTGGTTAGAATATACGTCCGTCCATAGATGATAAGAAAAGAGAATGAGAATAGCAGTTTCAACAGTCCGATATCTTCCCTGAAGTTGACAAATTTCTGACATGGCCACCCATATCGTTACTAGGCGTCAGTCTGCAGCTCTGGCTAGAAGGCTAGCTTGACGCAGAGTACTTTCGCCCAATTCCCCACACACACTCACTAACGACATAATAGCTTTCTGGAAGCCGCCAGAGAAGCTGTGTTGTACGTCACAACGCAGTGAGTATGGTGTCGGACAGGTGATCCGACGCGCTAAGGCATAGTAACTTGTCCAAGGCTACCCCACGACTTTGCCAGCGTCGAGGTTCGAAGACGGTACCTTTGAAATACATGACGAACACCATGACTATCAAGCCATGTTGCTTTGGAACAAGCCTGACGTATTTTTTTCTTAAAACAATACGGCTCGATGCACTTTTTAAACCTCTTTCTCACTATGCGCTTCGAATTGAGTTCTGATTACGTTCAAAGCCTAACACTAGACGTTTACGAAATCTTACGGTGTATTTTTTAAACTTCAGTTTTCTTCCTTCTCTTTGCTTCCTTAGCTACCAAACTGCGCTAGAAAGGAAACTGCATTTTTGCGTACTGTTCGCCGTTAGAATCTAAAAATCAAAAGTTTGGCATAGCTGAATCGTCAAAGATCTTTCGAAAACTGCCGTCAAGTTAAACTCTGAGAATTTTCAGGAAAACTTTTCAAATACATTGCTGGAAAGAGCGGCAAAATTCTGAACAGAATGAGACTGCGTCCAGCTTTTGAAAAAGTTTCTTTCCATAGATATAGGGGGCGACAAATACTGATTTGTTTACTCTTATACCTTCAAAAACCGAAGTTTCGGGAGCCCTTCTGTGAGCTCGTCAAAGTGATTTTCTTGTTTTCAGCATGTAGCTGAAACTAAATATACACCGGTTTCGGTTTACCGAAAAAACCGAAGTGCTTTTCTCTCTTGAAACAGTTTAAAATGATGATTAAAATGATATTCCTCTTCCTTTCTTTCTTCTTCTCTCCTCACACGGAAAGGCTGACACCGCTGTTTTTCCTTCATATGAGCGCCGAGAAACATACACGACATCCTTTTTTATCATTTTTTTAAACGGTTTTTAGAAAGAAAAAAACCTTCACTCTAGGCGTCGATTCTTATATAAGCATCAGTTAAGAATCTTATAAGAAACTTATAAGTACCCAATAAGATTCACGTAAGAATCTTACCTAATTCTTATCAAATTCTTATATAAGATTACGCAGGAAAGTGAATGGAGTTTGATAAGAGTCTTATAAGAATCTGATAAGAACGTCATAAGAAAGTGGTAAGAGGTCTTATGAACTTCTTATTACTTTCTTATGAAAGTCTTGTTTTGTAAAGCGATCTGAAAAATGCTCAAGAAGTTAAACTAAGTTAGTAGTGCATCTGAATTGTGCAAAAAAATTTGAAAAAATCATAGGATTCGAACCTAGGGCCTATGGCATGCCATGCCGTGCTCTCATCCATTGAGCTATTACGGACTGAGATAATAAGGATCATCTCATATTACATTGTGATTGACCAGTTTCAGATTTTTGAATTCCTTTTCTGAGTATATCGACAACTAAAGACAGAGCACTCTCGCGAGCATAAAGACTTCAAAGTCATTATGAAACATGAATGTTTCATAGTCAAATATTGAGTTTCTTACTGTTTCGCTAAGTAAAACGGAATCGTTAAATTAGTCGTTGTCCCGAATAATTTAAAATTAACTCTTCTGAAAAGTCTTGCAAGGACAAAGTATGTCAGAAACTTCTTATCAAAATTCGGTAGGAATAAACATTTTGTAACACGTTTATGAAAAATAGATAAGAACTTCTTATCACTTTCTTATGAAATTCTTATGACATTTTTATCAGATTCTTATAAGATTCTTATCAAACTCCATTCACTTTCCTGCGTAATCTTATATAAGAATTTGATAAGAATCAGGTAAGATTCTTATCAGAATTGCAGAAAATTTTTTGTCTAGGGCAATTTCGGTTTACGCTGAACGCCG